TCATTTTCTTTTTTTACTTGGAAATACTTGGGTTCTTGCTTGATTTCTTGATTTGGCTAACTCCTCCATTTGCATATATTTTTCAACCCTTCTTCTCAAATCGTTCATATCCATAGGTGGCTTTTTACATAGATTGTTCATAAAAGGTCCTAACTTAAGTGCAATGTTCAACCTATCCATAGCAATTGTGGGTTCAAATTCTTGATTTCCATTGCGATTTTATTAAAACGATCCATGAAGGATTGAAGAGTCTTTTTTTTTTCTTGCTTAATATTAGCCAATGCTAATGATTTAGTTGATATGGCTGACTAGTAGCGAATTGGACAGTGAATAGATATGACAACTTTTCAAACGAATGTATGGAACTCATAGGGAGTTTTATAAACTAGCTTAGTGCCCGACCTTTTAAAAATGTAAGGAAGATATGACACAAACCAACGTCTTCCTGTGTTATTAGAGTAACTTGTGTCAGGTATGCATTCAAATGTTCATCAAGATTGGAGGATCTATCATATTTTTCTAAAGAAAGACTCCTCCAGTTATCAAATAATACTGCTTCCATTATTCTCTGAGTAAAAGGATGCTTATAAGACCCAATCACTATTCTCGACCAAGGAGATCCCTGCTCGAGAACTGCATAGATGACACTTGTGTTTGAGGAGTTGTGGGCACATGATAAGAGGAGGCTTCATTGTTAGTCTAAGCATTAGGATTCCATGTTCTATTCAAACTTCTCAATTCAACATTCTCCATCCTTAGTGCTTCATGTTCTTGAGCCTCCCTTTCATGAGCTTGTCTAATGGCCATCACTTCTTTACGAAATAATCTTACCACATCTGAAAGATCAGTTTGATCTTCTATTCTCACTGGTCTGAACAGTTGTTCTTGCTGAATTGAATTGATATTCTTTCTAATGGTTTCCATCCTTCTCAAAATCTTCTTCCTGCAAAACAGACGAATAAAAACGAGCCCCACAATAGGCGCCAAAATGTACCTATACAAAGGTACTTCTATAATATTCTTGTTTCAAGTCTCCTCCTTAATCGCCTTTGTCCTGTCTGACTTGTAGTCTTCTTGAGTTTATCTGTATAAGGAAAAATAGGGGAGTACTTGCAAAAAATACTTCAACACTCAAGTCTCCTCCTTAATCGTCTTCGTCCTATTTGAGTTGTAGTCCAGATTTGAAGAGTAGAGTTTAAGATTTACTTAAACACTTAAATCCATGGTATGTTCTGAATATATTACACCAAAATTCATTAACACTCACACCTATATCTAACAAGTCTAGTGATAAGGAAACTGAATTCTTTGAAATCATAAAAATGAAAAGAGAGAGCCTTAGTCAAAAGTATACAAGACCAAATTAATCGAAAAAATTTAGTTTACATGATCTAGCTGATAAAATCATATTATTTTTTTAAAATATCGCTCAAATATACAACAAAGTCTCATGAGTGTCTTAGTTAAAAGTAATTTTATATAATTTAAATGAAGAAGAAAAAAAATATATTCCTATTCAATTCCTCGTGAGTGGGTCATTTGATAAAGTTGGCCATGGTAGGAATCGCCTTTTTAATTAGCCAAACATATTGCATCTTTTCTGTTCGTCTTTCTCTATCCACTAGTTTCTTCCTTTACTTGTCTATGGTTCGTACCTCGTCAAGTTGCTCGACATTAAAATTTTATATGGCAACCCGTACCTAACTTTTGCCCTTTGCTTTTGGAAAGTAAATGAAAAGTGGGTTTAATGATGAAAATTAATGTAAAATAATTTTGTATAGTTGTTTAATCATAATTTACAGGAAATGATAAATGAGTTGATTTTTAAAATAATTATCTAAAAAGTAATATAAATAATATTTTTAATTGATTGATTGTATAATATATTGTCATTAAACTCAGAAAAGGTAGTCCCTTTTTTCTATCAAGTCTTCGATGCATGCTTACTTAATTATACCATAAAAATTTATAGGATTAAATATATTTTTAATATTTAATTTTTTGTCAAATCTTATTTTTAATCTCTACACAATTTCTTTTTTTTTACTAATTTTAGTCTCAAAACCTTTTGGATTTTTACTTTTAATCTTTGAACTTTTTTCTCTTGTTAACATTTCAGAATATTTTTGTCAATAGAGAAAAATTTCAAGGTCTAAAAACTAATAAAATTTGGTTAGCATCTAAAAATAAAAATTCACAAAAGTTTAAATATTAAAAATATATTTAATTCAAATTATATTATTTTATCATAATTATTTTCAACAAAAGGCACGATAAACATATTAAAATATTTTTGAACATATCTTATGAAAAGGTCAATTTTGTGACTAAGAAACGATAGAATAAGATAATTATTCTATTTTATTATAATTCGTTGTTTGTTAATATGATAGTCTTATTTTATTTATTATTTTATCTTTTCTATTTATTATTTTATTTTGATGGCCTAATGTATTTTTTATTTTAAGGAGAATATTGGTTAAGAAGTAATATGATAGGATAAATTCTCTTTTACCTTTCTATATTATATTATATTATATTGAGAAGGGATTCACTTATTTAAAGAGTAATTTTTGATTGAATTACTATGTTAAATAACTCACATACTGTATTATATTTCAATAATCAAATTGTTAAATTAAAAATTCTTACTAAATAGATCATATTTATAAATTTTTAAAAAAATTAAAAATTATTTAATATTTTATTTTACTAAATCAAATGAACGGATATTCATAAAAGTATATTACCAGTTAGATTTTTGAAATTTAATACAATCTTTGAGTTACTAAGTGAAATTATTCTATCAAGAGTTATTATAGAGAGTAAATGAATGTCTCCCATACCATATTATATTATATAAAATAGAAAAATATATATAATAAATATAATATATATATATATAGAATTAAATATTAATTTATATAAAACATATTATAAAATTTATATACAACATTTATCTATATAATTATAATAAGTTTTACATATAAATTTATAGTATATTATTGACTAAAATATTAAAATAATAAATTAGTACTAAAATAATATCTTTTTAGAAAAAAAAAATTGATTTTAATAATTAAAATTTCAAAATATTATATATTTTATAATTATAAGAAAAATAACTGCATAATTAAAAATAATTTTGCATTATATAGTTAAAATTATATTTTCTTAATTTGAAAATCTTAAACAATTAAATTAAAAGTATTTTTTTAAACAAGTTATACGCAATTTCAATGAAATAAAATATTATTTTTTAAATATAATTTATATAATATGTTATTGTTAACGTGTTCTCTAGTTTGCTATTATAATGTGTGCTAATTTCGGATAAGATTTAAGTTCATCAAACTCTTATCATTTTCTACTCTCACTCTATCTTACTCTCACATCATATCTTACCATATTGAGGTATGTAACCGCTTTTGATTTTCACATTTTAGTAAACTATTATACCGTTTAGATGTAAAAAAGAAAATCTTATATCCTATCTAAATATCCTGTCTATGTGTGCCTCTACCCCTCTAGTCTATAAAGAGGATACTCTTTTTAGTAACCACTTTGGTCTCCACATTTTGTTGATCATTATACCTTTGTGTTTTAAAGAACTTGAAACTAATGGACTAATTATAACATCAGTCAGACCAATATACTTTTTTTACTTATTTTTTATTTTTTATTTTATCTTTAATAGAGACACAAAATACCTTAACTCCACTAGTATATATAAAGGAAATACTTTTTTCTATAACTATTTTTGGTCTCCACAATTTATGAACATTATATCCTTAATTATTAAGAAAAAATAAATTATTTTAGCAACTACCATTAATCAAATAACTACTCACATTATCATTTTTTTTCCTTATTTTACTTTTAAAAATATTTAGAGGCACGAAGTGCCGCTTTCCCCTAGTATGTATAAATGGAATAGGTTAGCAAATTTACATTGTTAGACTTCTCTAAAATTTGTCCCATGTAAAAATTTGTGTTAATTGTCTTTTTATTAATACTTGACTTATATTTTTTAATCTTTTTTAATTTAAAAATAAAATGTTTGGAATCCTAACTGAAATTATAATAAAAAAGAATAGTTTATTTTGTAACTAAATTCATAATATAAACCTTTACCATTTGTTTCCACCACCACCATTCTCAAAGTCATCATTCTCTAATTTTTACAAATATTTCATTTTTTTCTTCCACCTTCTTCAAGATACAATTTTCCCCCCTTTCTTATTTATTCTCTCAACTGTAACATCCCGAATTTTCTACTAATATAATGATTGATTATTATTTATTTTTATATTTATGGAGATTATTTTCTTATAATTATTTTAAATTTTAGTAGCCCAGAACGGGTCGCCCAAACTAGAACGGGCCGTTCCAAACTACTAAAATTACCTATAACCCTAGTTGGGAACGGGCCATTCTGGTTTAAGAATTGGTTGTTCTAGATGTGAATTTTACACATGACGAATGAGTCTAGAAGGGCCGTTCCGGATTTGAAACGGGCCGTTTTGGCCACTCCCGATGTCTATAAATAGCACACTCTGGCACGACCAAAAGCTTATTTTTCACTTCTGACTTCTTTTTCTTATATACTCTCTGAAGACCAAGGGGAACCCAGAGGAGGAGACCGACAAGATCCTGCTTTAGTTTCATCTCCTGCTTATCGAGGTAAGGGGGGAGTGAGAAACCTCGCTTTGGGTGTGGGAATATATGTTGGGTAGTGAGATTGACCCTCAATCCTATGTTTGTTGTGTGCTCATATATGAGGGATTTTTCCCAATTATATCTGTTTTATCTCTGTTTACGAACCACATCGGAAATAGGCCGAGAATCATATCGGGAAATAAGCTGATAATCATGTCATCATGTAGAATCGTGGTTTTCCGGAACCTGAAGTGAGATAGAATTGTCATCCTTAATCCTCGGAGCACCTGACGTGAGACCCACTCGGACTTTTGCCGATTGCACCATGGCCGATGCATTTCAGGAACTTCATGACATGGACTCTCAAGAGCGAGCAGAGCTGCTTGTTCAAACAGGTGGTTTATCTTCTGCTGAAGTGCAAGACATTGAGATGGTACTGGACATGATGCCTTCCTTGACACTTGAGGTAACTTGTGAGACTGAAGGTGAAGAGGGTATACAAGAGGGTGACATTGTGACTATCCATGCATGGATAAATGTTAAAAGGGGTAATGGTCTGATTGGTGCTCTTCCACATGCCCCCTACTACCCATTTCAGAAGGAAGAAAATTACTGGTTTTTGCTTGCGGATTCTGTTTCAAATAATGTGTGGTTTTCTCAGAAGGTTAGTTTCATGGATGAAGCTGCTGCTGTAACCGCTGCATCCAAGTCAATTGAGGAATCTATGGAGGGGTCAGGAGCAAATGTGAAGGAGACCAGTAGGGCAGTTGCAGAAGCAGTAGAGAAAGTGAAAGGGGGCTCTAGATTGGTATTGGGCAAGTTCCAGGCCCCGTCAGAGGGTAACTACAATTTGACTTGTTATTGTTTGTGTGATTCTTGGTTGGGCTGTGACAGAAGGACAAACTTAAAGCTCAAAGTTTTGAAACGGACTCGGGCTGGCACCAGGGGTGCTGTTTTGGCTGATGAAGGACCTATCATGGAGGATGGAGTTGAGGAGGATGAAGACAATGAGGATGAAGAGTATGATGATGACTACGAGAGTGAGTACAGTGAAGATGAAGAAGATGATCAAAACACAAAAAATAAGCAACAAGCTGCTAATGGCACCGTGAATAAACATGGTAAAGCTGCAGAAAGTTCAGGCTCTGATGAAGAATGAGAAGTCTTTTCTAACATGATAGAACCATAAATTTCATCTTTTCCCCTCATGGATGGTAGAACAATCAACTGTAGCAGTAATGGTATATTGTCCATTTTGTTTATCAGCTGGACTGCGTTGATGCTTGGACTTTCGTTCTTATCCTAGTTCCAGCTGATATCGTGACTAAATTGTCATATTATCTGAAAATTTAAAGGATGGTAGATCATGAGTTTAAAGATTGAATTTTGATTTAATGCCTGTGTACAACTTTTTAAATGTTTTATCGAGAAATTTGAGTCTTAATGTCGATTATTTCATTTAATCATCTCAACTTCAAGGATTCATCCTGGTTGTTGTTCTATTATTATGTTTAGAATGGTAAAATTAGGTAAGGGGTATTATTAAAAGAAAAAAAAATAGTAATTTTCATACGTTTTTTTTTTTTTTGAATTGGATAAAAAGAATCCAAACGTGATGCAAAAAGCAATTTTGCACCTTAGAAAATAGTGCAACCTGTGTTTAATTCATGTAGTACATATCTTATTCTCTTATGTTTAAATCTTGCAATCTAAAATAGTTTATTTTTAATCATATATTATGGATAGTTGTTATTTTGGAAAGAAAGTTAGTACTGGTTTCGGTCCATCAATAGAATTAGATATCATCTCTGATTGTAATTCATTTTAAGAAATGGGCTGCAGTGGCAAGTTGAGTAGGTAAGATTCTGAATGTTGAGTAGTTAAATTCAGTTCTCTCAACTTTGTTTTTAGTTTAATTCACACCCCAACTTCGTTTTTAACAAAAATGCCCCTGACAAAAATATTGTGAACAATTACTTTTGGGAACAATACCCAATGAAAACTCGAGTTTGCTACGTATTTTCTTTTTATTTATTGAAATTATAATGACGGTACAAGAATTAAGATCCTACACATACTATCCTAAGCCTTTCACCGCTAAGCCTAGTGGTTTATGATTTTATGTATTACAACTGAAACAAATTTTCGTTGGGTTAAGTATTTTGACACCTTCCCGTATCAATGAAATATACATCGGAAAGAAGTTTTTATGTAGTTAATTTGAAATACAAGCTATTTATTATTAGTTTTTTATTTTTATTTTTTATATGTATGTATAAAACATACCTTTTAGTATCAAATTAACTACAATATCTGGTAAAACAATTGACTACAATATAATTTATTAATTATAATAGTGACCGAATTAATTATACAAATATATTTTTATTTGAAATTGATTAAATTATAATATAAATTACCATTTTTAATAGTAATTAAATTAATTATGATGCAAATACCCATTGTAATTACAAAATTATATCAAAATTAATTTGATTACCATTTAAAAAAGTGATTTGCATCATAATGAATTTATTTGTTATTAAAAATGGTAAATTATACAACAATCAATATTTTAATTAAAAAAGTAACATGTATTAAAATGAACTCAAATATAGTTTTTTTGTGGATCACTAAGCTCAATTATTATTAAAATAAAAGTAACCTGTATCATAATTTAATTTTAGTTTAAAAGGAAATTTATGTTATAACTAATTTGATTAATATTAAGTAGGCTAAAGTATATTATAACTAATTTAACTTTAATTTTAAAAGTATTTTGTATCTTAATTAATTCGATACTAAAATGTAACTTTTTTTTTTACAAAGACTTAATTGCAATTTTGATTCCCTAAGTATTAAAATTGTGAAACTTTGGTCCCTCAAGGTTTTAATTATGTAATTTTAGTCCTTAAAGTATTATAGTTAAGTAATTTTGGTCCCCTAAATTTTAATTAAATAATTTTAATCCTTTGAGTATCATAATCGTACAATTTTAGCCAATCTAATTTAAAATCTAATAATTTAAAAATTATGTGTAACACTCATTTCTCATAAAATATAATATAAGTATTTTCTCAATAATTTTGGTATTTTATTTTATTAATAGGGATTGCTAAATATTTATTTAATTATTTAATATATTTTAGAATATAGTATAAAGTGTTTTAATTAAATATTTATTTAAATTAATTGAGGGGACGAAAATTTGTAACTATAGTTAATTCTTTTAACTATGAGGTAAAGGGAGGTTAAGGTTTAAAAAAGAAGGGTTTCTAATAAGTTTTTACGTTCCTTATTTTTTACACACGAGTTGCGCTTTAGAGCTTGGAGAACAAGATCAAGAAGAAAATCATTCTAGAACCGTGTACCCGTCGTCTAGTACTCATCCAAGTAAGGGGGAGTGAGAAACCTTGCTTTGGGTGAGTTTGTATACTGGATAGTGGAATTGACTCCCAATCTTGTGTATGTTGTGTATTCATGTATGAGGAGTTTTCCCTAATTGTATTTTTTTCGCTTCTTATTCTTCTTGTACATAATTAATGACATGAGTTGTTTGAGTTTATAATCAATTTTATGTTTTGGATGGTAATTGTATGATCCGAGGTCCCTAGTGTTGAGATGATGGGACATCTTGAAGACTCCTAAAGAATGTTTTAGTTTTGATGATGTATTGTATAGATGTTGCTTAAGCCTATGAAAAAGGATAATGTATTGATTGTAATAGATATAGGCATGTGTGTGTTTGTTTGTTTATAATTGATGATGAATGCTTCATTCAACAACTAATTGAGCTTTCAAGAAACCAATAACTTGATTACTTAGTATTTCCATGTATAAAAATAAAGTAATAGATTATCATCAAAAGGTAATTTACTACCAAGTGTTTAAACATAGAAATATGATTCAAACAAGAGTTTTCAAGGCAACATTATTAATCAATTATCATTCAAGGTAATAGATTACCAAGTCTGTTACTGGAAAAGGATATTCAAATGCCCTCTATGTTAATAGATTACCAGAGTTGGTAATAGATTAAAATAGTGTCTCTTGCTTGAAACAAGACTGAAAATCAAGATTTTCATCGGGATAATCGATTATTAGAGGAGATAATCAATTACCACAGAATGAAGTACAATTATGGGTTCTGAGAAGCTTAAGATAATCGATTACCATGTCCCGTAATTGATTACCCTGACCCTTTATGTTCAAAATTTAGTTTTAAGATGAACTAGTAATCAATTACCATATCAGGTAACAAATACTCGTGTTAGGACTCTTTATAACTGACTTACATCTTGTACTTTAAATACCTATCTTTTATGAAATTAAAAAGAGAACTTTTTTGAAAAATAACATTAGAGAAAAAGAATACTTTCAGAAACAAGAATCAAAGGCTGATCAAAGAAAATTTTTCTTAAATTTTGCTTTCTGATTGTTCTGTTGTGTTCCTTGTTGGATGAAATGTACGAATATGTGTTTAATTTTGCAGATAGACAAGTTTTGATATGAATTAAAGTGCTCTGTAGAGACTATGTGAATATTATGAGATAATGTGAAAAGTGAATATGAGAGGTGAGATATGAGGATATGTGATAATGAGACATGATAATGTTATATGATAATGAGACATGATAATGTGATATGAGAATGCATAGAGTCTTGATTTACATGCATCATTTGCATAAATGTTTTTAAGAGTACAATATGGAATACACCGCTAGAGAAGGTCCCCTTGTCTAAAAGCTTGGAGATTAGTCCTTGGGGATAACTCGGTTTGTAAGTCTCAGTCTCGCCCATTGTGTGCATGGGATGTATCTTTTGCGGCTTAACTATCCCGACTAGACCCTGGTAGTATGTCCTTCTAATGAGAGTGCGCAGAGGGTGTGACCCGGCACCTACTCCTAGACTACTCTCGTGTGTTGCTAGCGGTAATACACCATGTGATGTGTTACTGACGCCACATGCATGATAATATGTAATCCGTGTCCAATACATGTGCATTTTTAATGTTATATGTTAACTTGATTTTTATGTCTTTGGTGAGTGGAATGTGATATTGTTGTTAACTATCTATGCTATGTACATATACATGTCTTGTTTGTGTTTGACTATTCGGTTTGTATTTCTACACCGTGAGCTAGAGTGAGATGTTTCTCACTCCCTTTTCTTTTGTGTTTGGCTATCAGGCTGAGGATGTTGGTGACGAAGCTTAGGCTTCAATGTTGGGCTTTGCTCTGATAGGATATGTGACATCGCGACATAGATAGGATTAGATTAGGATGTTGTTCTTATTATTTTGGAAACCTTAGCATTATTTCTTTGTAATTTTTGCTGATTTTGTTATTTGTTTAAGTCATGGATGTAGTACTCACTATCTGAACATGTTTGATATTTTAATTATGAAAGATTATGTTCTTCAAATTTTGTTATCTACGTGTTATGGTATGCGGGGTAGAGGGTGTCACATCAACTTTCTTTATTATCAATCTTTCTATTCATTTTGTTTCCATCTTCATCTCCATATTTATCTTATGTTCACATTTTGTTCATGTATTTTACTCTTTATGCGACACTTAATCATACATAGGTTTGCATTTGATGTAACATCCTTTTTTTTATAAATAAATAAATAATGAATTAAAATAATTAGAAAAAATATAAATATTTTATTAATAAAATAAAAGAGGAAGAGCTCATCAAAAGCGTTTAGGCTAGACTCTGTGCCCCACCTAGAGTTTAAATCAAATAGGAGAGTTTAGAGAGGGGTTATGTAATTTTGCAACTATTTTGAATGTCTAAGAGCTCATAAGAGGAGAATTAGAGGAGGTCGTGTGAGAAAGCATGAATTGACGACACTACCGGAGGGGCATCACTTATTGAGACTCATTACTTCAAGTAGAGGGAGAGGGATTATCAATTCCTGTGCATATGTAAGGGATAAGGGTAGGGGGTGATTCTTAAGCCTCGTAGGTCATATGTATGTTGTGTTGTATGAATGTCTTTATGATTCCGTTAATATTCTAATTGTTAACTAATATAATGCTCTATTTTTCTATGAAAATGATGAGTGTGTATATTTGAGGGTTAAGGTTGAGATATATGAATTGGGGATTAAATTAAATTGAATGGATTTTGATAAATTGAAGGTATGATGTTGTTTTTTTATGTGTGATTTTAATGATGTACCGAATAAATTATAAATTGTAATATTTGGTAATGATGTATGAATTAAGGAGAAGAGAATCACATAAAAACAATGCATGATATAAAGCTACCTTTTTAAACTTTGATAGTTTGTTACATTCATGAATAAAAACTTTCCTAATTAAATATTTAACAGCAAAATAAGAACTTAAGAGGATATTAGAAATAGTAATTGACTATTCAACTAGACATACCATGAATAGAAACAAAGTATTGTGATTACTGACTCTTAATAGACATATGCTAACAAATTTATATTAGATTTCTCTATATTAGGTCACATGTAAAAATTAAAATTAAAAGTCTTTTTAGTAATATGCTTTAGTTATTTTTAGTGGTTTTTAATTTATCAATTATCTAAAATTTAAATTTAAAAATTTTACATATGTCAATTTCAAAAAATAATCATTACAAGATAATTCTATTATAAAACTTTTAATCTATTAAATCTTAAAATTTAAACATGTTAATTACAAAAAAAAATCATTAGAATAATTATGGAATATTTGTAAATTCATTTCACAAAAAGATAATTCTATTATAAAAAATTAATTTATCAAATTATTTAAAAATTTAAATATGTTAAATATAAAAATAATCATCAGAATAATTACAAAATTTATAAATTATTTTCACTAGAAGATATTTCTATTATAAAATATTTTTCAATTTATCAAAATATCTAAAATTTAAAGTCACTAAACTAGACTCAGAAACCAAAATCTTAAAACCCTGAACTCTAAAATCCTATACCCCAAAATCATAAATCCTGAGTCATAAACTTTAAGCCACAACTACAATTTTTTTTTAACTTTATCAAATTATCTAAAAATTTATAATTAAAAATTTTAGATAACTTCATTCCCTCCAAAACTATATTATTATGAAAACAAAATAAAATAAACTAATGCAGAAATTAATCAATTAATAAAAAACAATCAATACTAATAACTATTACATTTCACACATATAAATCTTCCCTTCAAAGATTCCCTCAAATGAATATGCCTTAAATATTTATTCTTCCAATAACTCTCTCCAAAATAATTATATATAT